TATTCCTAGCACCAAAATCCATTAATGAACAAGTAGGATATTACGAGACGTAAAAATGAAGTACGTAATAAGTGTACAGTCGTTACTGGCGTACAACGAAATCTGGAATCATTTGATTATTTGATACTTTGCAACCTCACTACACCTGCGGAATAATTTGCGTTTCAAGGTACGTTATTCGCAGTCATAGCAAACCAGCTCCAGTAATTTCTGGTCGGCTTCCTATTTTCTCATTTTGTTCACTGTGTACGGTGTACCTTAAACGCTGTCTGTATAAATCAGTAAAAAACGAAGGTTCGACGTAGCAATACATGCCTTGTACTTATTGATTCGCATTCAAACTTCTGACTTTGCCTATTAAATCACCTGCAAATATCCCGACACAATAAAGTGCTATATGTGAATGTAATGCTTCTCCGATTTAGCCTTCTAAGCTCGTCTGTGTCCAAATTCTGAGCCAGGCTGTAATACAAAATAAATACCTCGTAGATAGCTGGACGTTGGAGCTGCATAGTAAGACGCCTAAAGCGTGAAGCAGGATCGGTACGCCTTAGAACCAATACGCGAATATAAGGCCAACCTCCGATGAGTGGAGAACACCAAAAGTAACGCTAGGAAAAATTTATTAAGTGGGGCGAAACGCTATCTAGTGCTAAAAATAAGGCACTGGAAGATAGCTAGCTAGGGGAAGTTGTGGTCGCGTGCGCGGAGAGCAAAGCTGGCCGCGGAACCGATGAGCTTCGCGCCGTTCGCAGGCGGATGCTATGTTGACTCAAACAAACGCGAGCAAAGTTCAAACAGGCGAGCGGCTAATTTGCTATGTACATCGAAAAAATATAATTTTGTGATTTTGTAATATTTTACGCAGCATGCGGCAGCCAAACAGTGGAATCACTAGGTCACTACACGCCGATGTAAGGGAGGCGGTTTAGAGGGTCGCCTGTACCGGGAGCCCAGAGAGCCATTCGAGAAGACGGATCGAGTTGCAGGGAAACTTTTATTGGTACAGTAAAAAATTCCATACTACCTAGCTATAAAGGAACGACACCGTGGACGCTCTAGCTAAGGGAACGGAGCATGCACAGCACACGGGGCAATCGCGAGTTGCAACCGAAACGAGCGCCAAGCAAAAATGGCTACGAGCAAGTCGAGCATACGAACTCAGCAATCAGTTCAACAAACCACACCGGTTGCCTAGGTGTACAATGAAATAGTTTTAGTTAGAATTTTACACAGGCAAACCGGGGAATCTCCAGACTGCTACAGCAGCTAGAGAAGCACTGAAGATGGAAGGGAAGGTGCCGGAATAGAATAGGAAGGGAAGGATAACAGGAAAGGAAAGCGATCGAGTTCCTACCAGTTAACATGTTACCCTGACGCGTGTGGATCGGCTACATTATCCTCCTCTTAGTAGGCGCTGTCCTCAACTCCCAAAACGGTCCATGCCGGCACCAAGGTATGTACCTGTAAGAGGCACTGAGCGCGGCATATTAGGCTCGCGAATTTCAACGACACACAGCACGATAGAATAAAAGTAGCTATTGCCTCAAGGGCTACAATCTAGCTCCGTGGACTGCTGTCGGGAACTGGCAGGGTCGCCAAATATATAATATTCCTTCGGTCCGGCGTTCTGAGCTCTTCCGTGTCCAAGTTGTGCGACAAGCTGCAATGCAAAATAAATACCTCATAGACGGATGGAGGCTTGAGCCGCCTAGTAAGAGGCCGATGTAATGGAAGCAGCTAAATAAGCACGGAAGAGGGAAGAGAAAGTGCCGGAGTGGAATAGGAAGCGGAAGTGCTCGACCTCTTACCTGTTAACGTGTTACCGTGACGCCTTGGACCGGCTACATTAGTGTATTAAAAACTGGAGTTGTTGGCTCATAGTCTGAAAGCACATTCGATTTCATTTGGAATGCAACCTAAGACCCGTTGTATAAACGCTAAGAAGTCAGTCAACATTTACGCTTCTTTACGTACATTAAAAAACGGAATGTAGTGTAATTACGTGCATAAACTTTGGTCTGGGTAAATTAATTATTAATTATAAAATTATAAGTTGCCACATATATATAGTACAACGTTCGTGTAATATACAAATAGATAACCATAAGCATTGTTGATGGCTTTATATATATATATACATATATATATATATACCTACGTCATTTAAGCTGTTTCGCATTATTAAATATGTATTAATTGAGATACATTTCAACAGAAAATTTAATAAACAACAGTTTATAGCTTAAGGTAACATAGCGAAATTAATAATTTAACGGAGCAGACAACGTGCTATTAGACGGTCGGATGATGCAGAGACTCGGCATATGCTGAAATTTAGCCTTAGCTATCGCGAGTTTGTCGAGCGGCAACAGTCGAGGTCGAGCAGCAACAGGAGGTCCGGTCGTTACGATATGGTGCACAACATGATGCTTTGGAGCTGAAAATTCGTCGGATGACTGAAATAAAACGAGAATTCGGTAAAGCGATTCCCTGAATACACAATTAGTGGGAAGCGACATTCTGTGGCCAATTGGTCTTATCAAGGCAACTTTACTAAAAACGGTGAGAGATGTGACAATATCACGGATTTTCCTGCGGTGTAGGTCTACAATCAGGCCGTATTTCATAAGAAAGTCGACGTCAATGATGGAACGTTGGGTGTCTACCATGAGGAATACGAACGGGAAGGATCATCTGAGTCCCGGTTCAAGGATTAGTAGCATGTAGCCCTACGCGTAGATTTTGGTGCTGTTAGTCACTTGCAGTGTAATTCCGGTAGAGAGTAGGTAGCGTTTTTCCGTTATTCGAGAAAGGACGCTTACCTCTGCACTGGTATCAAGCAGGAAGGAGAGGTTGGTTGCAGTCGTGGACGTAAAGTAGGGAACTAGATGGTTGGTCAGCTTCAGCCGTCACCATTACTGGCTGGCTTGATCGTTTCCCTGCTGTGGCGTGCCGAGTTATTTAGGGTAAATGCAACCGGGGTGAAAATTCTTAGCTGTATTACCAAAACGGCGATGATAGTAACATTAGTGACGTACCGCTTTCCGCGAACAAGTGCGTCTATCTCGTGAAGCTGGTCCGCGACTTCGATTGCGAACGGGTGGGCGACGCGTGCTCGAATGCTAGAACTCGAGTGTGCATAACCTGTGAGACAATGAATCGAGAGTATTGTTTCCCGGGAGGCAAGTCGTAGGCGCATCGACAACGTGACAAAAGGGATGTGTGAGAAAATTCGTTGACTTTATCTGCTGTTTCTGCCAGCTTATCTAAGGATAACTAATTGTTGGACACGGGGGGAATCGCTGTAGATTTTGTAGCGAGGCATTTTGTCCAAAGCTGACGCAAAACGCCGTCATCGACTTTGGTAAGACCAAGTAAGGACCGCATGTGGCGAAGGAGTTGTGAGTATGCGGTCACCTAGCTGAACACCGGAAAGCAGTTGCTGAAGTTGGGCTTCCTCGGAGGAGGAAGTGCGCATTAGAATAGCAGCTTTAATCTTATCGTAAGGTGCATCAGTTGGAATGGAGTCAAGTAAATCTGCGACGTCAGGGACGACACAAGTGGGGATGTGTGCAGCAACATAAGAAAACATGGTGGACTGCGAGGTAATACTGTGCTAACGAAAAAGTGCCTCGTTGTAAACCCAAACACGAGAATTAGACGTATCGAGAGTAGGCACAGAAAAACCAACAAAAATTTCCCACGTGACCTCAGATGCAATTTGATCAAAAGTCATAGCAAAAAACAGGAGTTCTGAGCTTTAAAAAAGTGTTAAAGAAAAGCAAAACTAAATACAAAACGGGCTCACCAAATATGTAGCGAACGAGTTATCACTACAACAATACTTATAGTCAGAAGGCAGTCGGTTTAGGTAAAAACAGTCACTGACCCACGGTAAGCTTCCAATTTCAAATGGTTTCCCAGTCTAGTGGTATGATCCGGCCTATAGCGTAGAACGAGCAGTGCGATAGTTCCTAGCCGTTGAGCGAAGTTTACCGCGCAGAGCAAACACAACGACGACGCACGCAGCAGACCGGAGAAACAACCCAGAAGATTCCGAAGGGAATGTATTGATCAAGTCAATTAAAACAAGCTGTACAATAATGAACCTAATAAGAATAATAAAGTGGGTGTAGTGAAACTATACGGATTTCAGGACTGTAGCGTAATGCTGACTAAGCCTTTTGATAGCCGAATGGTCTGCGCGTGTGATTTGCAACCATAAAGTCCTCGGATCGATTCCGCGTAGAGGCGGGCGTCTTCGCGGTGTACTCAGCCCACACGTGACTGGTGGTCTTCGCGTGGCAGCAAAACGCCGTTACGACGTACAGCTGACACCTGATAATAATAATAATAATAATAATAATAATAATAATAATAATAATAACCTTCAGCATCGCAGCATACTAACTGTTTCCTTATTTCTCGGTTACTTCACCAAACCCCCATACGGGACTTGGAAAGTACTGTTTTCTTTGCCCCTTATAATTGCATTGTGCATTGATCAAAGATCGCTTTGTAATCCCAGGGCGCGGGTTCGAGCCTGCGTAGGGAACCGGGCGACTCTCGAATTATCCGTAGCCCACGCGCGATGGTAGTTTTGCTACAGCAATGCGTCGATACTGTGTACAGGAGTAATGCTGGTACCTTTAAGGCTTCCTGACATAATACCAGTCACCTGCCTAATCTTCCTATCCAAAATGAAGCCTGGATGCTAGTGAGGCCTAGGGTGAACCTTACGGCTTAGTGCTTCATTCAACCCTATGCATTCTGAACATTGCGCAAACAAAATAACGTTAAATCTCTCTAGGTTTCGCTAAATTTTTACTCTACATCGAGAAGACTACACTGAACAGATGCCACGGTTCAGCAACGAATATGGTACACACTAGAAGGTGGAAAGCTTACTGCCCGTATTCCTATCGTGGCATACTTCCATAACCTGTGTGTTGTTAAATTTAACATAATACATTGCATGCAGCCGCCTCTGACTTGAAATGACGGAGATTGGTGAGCCACAGTTGCCGGTCAACGATAGTGAATATGTGGATCTTGATGAATCAAAGTCCAGCGAAAGGTATGTTTCCCGTCGTACTCGTCCATAGGTAATGTGAAGGCACAGAGTTCGTAAACAAGAACCATACACCAGAAGCCTGGATAATCACCTCATCAGGATTTCTTTATGCGCCATTCAGCCTACTGTGGATGGGCTATCTTTTGCTCCCTCCAAGTTCGTATGCAACAGTGAGCTCGTTATTTCTTTTTGTCGATTTGCAAACGTTTATTTCTTCCTAAACAGACAGGTTACTGAGTGAGGTTGATGCCCTGAAGAAATTCATCTTCCTGTGCCAAATCAATATTGCTTTCAACGAGTTGACAGATCTAACACCGTTGGAACATTTGCATAACCTCATGATACTCAACGCATCGTATAATCAGATCGAGCAGTTCCCTACTGGAAAATGGCCGAGGCTCACTCACTTGCATCTACACCATAACAGAATATCCCAGCTACGTTGTATGTGCATGCCAAGATTAAAAGTACTCTCATTGAATTGTAAGTATCACTGGAATACAGCAATGCTTATGCTCGGTAATTAGTTTAGCGAAGGTGCCAACACTTCTAGTAATCTCAAATGTACGCAATTGTTATCTCCATGATAATTTGCACCCGAATGGTTAGTGATCAGTGCGACCTGTTTCTTTGAGCAAAATGTTTTCTGAGGTATAATCGTGGTGTTTGCAAATGCTACCACATTCACTGAGCGCCGACCCAACTGCGATCATAAAGATGCTGTAAAATGTCACGAATGTGTCCGGCTTGCGCTAATAATCGCAATTAGTATCACTCTGATTCTCTGAATGCCAAGTTGTAACCGTTCTCCCTAAATATGCTTCTTGGTACAGTAGAGCGGAGGAGCGTTTGTTCAGAAATTGTATGCACTTAACAGGATTCTGCAGGCATGCTGGGCTTAGTATCCGTAGATGTGGGCAATAGAAGCCGATGTGTTCCTATTCCATCTGGAGGAGCGTATTTAATCAAGTTTCCTAGATTCGATATAACCTAAGCTTGTTCCGGGGCCGTACCTATCCTGCTTTCTTTGGTTGACGACGTGTATTATTTGATGACTTGCCGATTAGGCCAGAGTTGGTTGGTTTAAATAAAACAACATCTGTGTCACTCCACTATGTATGCAGCTTTTCACGTTATGAAGCTTAGCTTACTCCTGATGTCAGCCGATGGTGCACGCGCATCGCATAGCATTGACACACAGATCGCGTCGTCACTGGGAGTTAACCACATCTTCACAAGCGTGAATGTGCTGAAGCGACTGACGTCACTTCAAAACAACAGAGCACCTGATCCGGGCAGCATATGCACCAACTCATTGAAAGTAGCTGTTACGTGCTTAGCTGAACCGTTACCTCAATTTTTCTAGCGCTATCTTGACGTGATGCAGGTTCCAACTATGTGTAAACACGGAATAACCACCTTATTTACAAGGAAACACTTTTGATATACTCGCAAACTACCTCCCGGTTACTCCTCTTCCGGTACTTGCTAGTCACGGAAACTTTCATTGCAGAAGCCTTCATGGGATGTTCAGAAAGGAGCGATCGCATCGTGTCTAAATTTTGAGAATTCCGCCAAAACCGCTCATGCATTACGCATCTATTGTTAGCCCCCTGCCAACTGGATGGAGTCCGCCGATGCTGTGGAAGTTGACACCGTCTGCCTCGAATTCTCGAAGGCTTTTGCTCGTGTAGATGGCTGCCAGGTGTAGTGCCCATGGCAAAAACGACGACTGCTCTTGAGAATCCAGAACGGAGGACTACTAAAGTTATAGTATGGTTAAGAGGTGGAGCACCACCTCGCTTAACGATTTATACTAAAATTGCTATGAACTTTCAATGAACAGTATCGTCTTCTATGGGGCGTTCTTACATTAGTGTATCGGATCCTAAATGATTCTAACTGAAACTTAACCCCAACACCTTACTAAAAGTCCACAAGCTAAAGTTGGTGACACAGTATAGCCGATTGGAATGCCGCCGGAAGCTTGTATACATTCTTGTATCCTAGCAGTCGAACTATCTTCCGCATTCTACTATCTCCTCATCCATGTTGGCGGAATTCAAACTTCGAGTTGATGAGGTGTTACACTACGTACATTACCTGATTTAACCCAATTTGTTGGGACACTGTGTGGTGGATTAAAGGTAGATACTACTGCGCCGGGTATAAGTAGTGTGGTGGTGCAAGATGACACACCAACAGCGAGCCCTGCTGACTTCCCCAAAGTTGAAGATGACATCAGGATTACAGTTGCATGCGCACGAGGAGTGAACACAGATGCATGCATCAGTTGGGGAACACTCCATGGAGATCACGCAGATGAGCGGACGCCTCCAAGGTATGAACGAACACACCTAGTGTAAGCCACTTTAGCAATAAACAAGTACCGCCTGCCTCTTGGGTTCTAACATTTGTTGCCGTGACCTCGCAAGTCATGAAGATTCCCTGGCCGGAGTCATTTGAAGACGGGGATGTGAAGGCGTTTTTGGAGGATTTCGAGGAGGTGGCAGAGGCGGTAGGACTGAAGACGGACCGGGTGAAGATGGCGGCCCTGCGGAGTCTCCTCAAGGGCAGGGCGAAGGCGGTTTTGGAGGCGGCGCGAAGAGGTCCGGTCAAGTTGGAGTGGACCACCGCGAAGGAAGCGTTGCTCTCTGGCCTGGACATGCCAGCGGACCGCCAGGAGGCGATGCGACGATTCAAGGCGTCGCGGTTTGGTGCTGGGACGGATCCCCTCGTGTTTGCAGTGCACCTCAGGAGCTTGTTGGATCGCGACTTGCCGGGATTGGATGAGACGTCAAAGACACAGTTGCTGGTGGATCAGTTTTTGGCCGGCCTCCCACAGCCAACCGCGGAGCGCGTTCGGATTGCGAATGCTACTCGGCAGATGCAATTTGAGGAGTTGGCGCAAGTTACTCGAGACCTGAGCGACGCACCACTAGCTGCGCTGAAGGAAGAGCCTTATGAGAATGTGGAACGGATGGACAAATTGGAACGGATGATGGAACAGCTTACGGAAGACATCACTGGGCTTCGCGTTCAGCGTTACCGGGTGCGCACAAAGGGATGTTGCTTCATCTGCGGGAAACCGGGGCACTGGAAGAGACAATGTCCGCAGAGGCGTGGTGTTACTCGTGTGACGAATAAACGTGTGCAACCCTTATTTTTCTTTTCGGATCGAAGATTGTGTACTTGGGGTGTTGAGCAGGAGTGTGGTTGAAGCAATGGTGGAAGTAGACGGAACGATGGAAAAGTGTCTGATCGATACGGGTGCCGCGGTGTCACTAATCAACCCTCGGCGAGGTGAAAAGCTTCAGTCGTGCTGCACGATCGTAAGAGCGGTTGGCGGTCATTCAGTGGGAATTGATGGGATAGCCGAACACACCGTGGGAATCGGGGGACGAAAGCGAACACACTTTTTCTCGTGTCACCAGATGCGAAACAAACCATATTGGGAGCAGATTTCCTGGAGCTCAATAAAGCTGTCATTGATCTAAAGCGTAGGAAATTGCTAATGGAATGCGGGTCACTACCACTCATTGATCGTGGAGAAATGAGATCTTCGCAGTCGGTCGTTGCTGTGTTACATTTGAGCCCATCTTTGCAGTCACTGATCAACAAATACCAACCCTTGTTTACGGATGACAGCAGCCAATATGGGTTTTGCGATTGGATCGAGCACACCATCCCGCTAACTCGCCAGCCGTATCGGCCCCATGGACTTCGAAGGATACCAATCCATCTGGAGGCTGTGGTGAACAGGCAAGTGCAGGAAATGCTGGACGCGGGCGTGATTGAGGAGGCACATAGCCCGTACAATTCTCCTGTGATCTTAGTGAAGAAGACGAATGGGAAGTACCGATTCTATGTCGACTTCTGAAGACGGAATGAAATTTCCTTGACTCGCTTCGTTCCAGTTCCAACAGTTGCTGGCATTTTTGATGGGCTGCAGCAGTCGAGGATATTCACGGTCCTGGACTTGAGATCAGGATACTGGCAACTGGCAATAAAACAGGAAGATCGAGAGAAGACGGCGTTTACCGTTGGTGAGAAACAGGAGTAGCGGTGTTATATCCGAAAGACTCTCTCCCTTAAAGACGTCGTATTGCAAACCATCTCTAGGCTGCGCAGTTCACTAAGTTAAAAAGTGTGTAGCCCAACAATTGTGGAAGTGATGCTTCAAAACAAAAACATGTCAACAAGGGACTTAGAGCGCCGTTATGTATATCGCATCAGCCTACATAACAAGTTCTGGATCAAAGCAGTGTTCCCTAAGCAAACACAAGAGAGTAGCCATTTAGTCAAGCCACTTACCGAAAACGGTTCCGACAAAACCAGTAAGCAAGACGGCTAAACAGATAAACACATCCCATCAGTTACACACAAGGCGAAGTACAGTAAGATAATGGCAACATCTCTGCAACTGACACAAATGCGATCTGAAACCATTTGTATAGTTTATTAATTTGAAAAGCGCAGTAGGAAGACGAAGGCTGGCAAATGCACGCATTTCCTATTGTCTCATCAGTGCCTTTAGCAATAACTCGCAATAATATTTATTCAGTGAAGGGTGCGACCAAACATACATGCAGTCAGACAGACTAACACACGATAAACGAGACATGGTTATCATCCCTATCCCCAGGGCAGTCAAATGCTGACCGATAATTGTTTCTGAACATAAAACAGCGGCTTAATCCGGTTAAATGCAATCGCCTCTGCGAAACGGATGAGGCGAGAATTGATGTGCTGTAATAGGATTGTTATCGCCGTACTTGGATATCCTCATCAGCCGCAGAGAAAACGGACCGCTTGAGAGGTCTGTCTACAGGAAATCAACATGGTCCGAGCAGTATCTGCATTTCACTAGCTTCACACCAATGCAATACAAGCGGACGCTCGTGAGAACCTTGGTTAGTCGTACCAGACGAATTTGCTCCGCTGATTGCTTGGCTGACCAACTGCAGTTGATTACCAACACGCTCACTGAAATCGGCTACCCCCGAACGTTCATCGAGAAACATGGTCAAGTGCGACTAAGGGACCCAGTACACACGGGGTCCAAGCATCCTGTAATCATTGAAATGAATTCAAAGGTGACGTCTCCTCATTGAGGACCACAAGGCATCTGATCTGTGCCATGCAAACAACTTACTGTGCCGCCAAGGTCGTTGTCATTAACAAAACCCAAAAGCTGCCTCTTCCTTCCGTAAGGGACGCTCAGTCTATAAGGGCAAAAGCGCATTGCGTTTACCAATTCCTTGGCGACTGCGCCGCCAGTTACATAGGGAGGACCCCAGCAATGGCAGTGGGGTACTTTTATGCTGCCTGCAGTGCGAACCGGCGGAGGATCCGGAAACGCTGATCATAGGCTCATTCTAGTACAGACTGCGACACTTCCCTTGTTGCAGTTGCTTATCATTTCCCAATGTCCACCACAGTGATGGGTTCCCGCCTATTATTAGTCTTGGGGAGGTTCTGCG